TTCATCAGAAGGGTCTGATGAAGGGTCTAGGCCCGAAACGTCAGCCTTTCTGCTCCTATAATGCTGCTTAGCCTGCTGTGTTCATCCAGCTCTGCACCTTGTTGTCTCACATTCTAGATCCTAACCAGTCATTGCATAATGACGTTTTGCCCTCACGTTCCCAATTGCTTTAAATCTGTGCCCTCTCATTCTCAATCCTTTTACCTTTGGGACCACTTTCTTCCTATCTACTTGTACAGATGCCTTGCCATTTTGAACACATCTATCAAATCTCTTTTCAGCCTCCTTTTCATGCCATTCTGGAAGTTTGGTGCCCAGAACTGGATGCAGTAGTCCAGTTGATGCTGAATCAGTTTTAACTTTTGTTCTAGTACTCTATGCTCAGATCGATAATGCCAGGGTTCCTGATGCTTTATTAACTGCTTTTTCAGTCTGCCCTGCCACCTTCAATTACCTGCACAAGTCCCTCTGCCCTTCACCCCCCTTAAAATTGTATCTTTTTTTGGTATTATCTTTGCACATTGTTCTTACCAAAATTATTCATTTCTCTGCATTAATTTTCATATGCCATTTGCCCAGCCATTCCACCTACCTTGTGTGATTTTGAAGCTCTACGTAATGCTTCTCTCAGTTTGTTGTACTTCCTAGTATAATATCATCTGCAAACTTTGAAATTGTGCCCTGTCTATCAACCTTTCGGTCATTTGTATGTACAGCAGAAAGAGCAGGAATCCAAGCATTAATCCCTTGGGAATCCCACCAGAAATTTTCTTCCTGTCCGAAAAACAACCGTGAATGACAGTGATGGATTCCTGTCCAGCTACAATCATTTTTTTCATATTTTTCTGCATTTGGTAACTTATTAATAGGTTGGTTTGTCTGTATACTAATTAATACAAGTTAGCATCAATCTTTTTGGTGTAAATTTTCTTGGTAGCTAACATTATCTTTAATGGTAGGTCAAATCTGTCAGTGTTTGTGAAGTGTCTCTGCAGGTTTGACAACATTTGTAGCAGTTCCCTGTGAGCATTTTAATGGTTCGACATTTCAAAGGCAGGGCTGAAAAAGATCGCTGGGACCACTAGGCTTGTTGCAAAGTCCAAATAATCAACATGCAGCTCAATCTGATTTACTCTGCCAACTACCTATCCAGTTCCTTCCTGAATATTCAGACTGTCTTGTCCTTGTTGGCTGGTCTAGTCATACTGATGTAATTTTCTTGGTTTCATAATAAAACTCATCCATAAAGTACTGGAAATATACAGGAAATCTGTTAGAACAAAAGAAAAATACATAATGAGGAAGCAGTGGAAAAGCAGAAATGTCGCTGGACTAGAAATCCAAAATCCCAGGCTAATGTTGTAGGCACATGTGTTTGAATCCTATCATGGTAGATGGTAGAATTAATACAAATCTGCAATTTTAAAAAAAGCTAGTCTAATGGCAACCACCAGTTCACTCTTCTTTTATGGAAGTAAATCTGCCATTCTTATAGTTTGGTTTACGTGTGACCCCAGACCAACAGTAATGTGATGTTAACTGCTCTCTGGTCAATTAGCGATTAATAATAAATATTGTCCTACCCACTGAAGCCTACATCTCATGAAAGAATAAAGAAAAAGACATGAACTTAATTTTCTGTCAAGTGATAACAGTCGAGTTCGTAACTTGGCTCATTTATGTTTGCTAGAATTGACATGCATTCATACACAGGGTCTTGATCTTTGCAAGCGAAAGGAATATGCTCAAACCTTGCCCCTCACCAGCTTGAGACTATCGTTTCCGGTTATATTTTCTGTAGCAATGCCTCAGCCAATCAGACCTGCTGACCAATCAGCTCCCTTTTCATGTGTACCTCAAATCCTCCTTAAGATGCAGGGGGTAAGGACATGGACATCCTGTGGATAACAAAATAAATGGATACTGCTTCGATGTAACTCCTTTATCTGCCATGAAGGAATGCACACTCAGACCAGATGAGTTGATGGGAGAAAAGATGCCGAAGAGTGAGTGTAGTAGAAAAGTTGTGATTGGTTAAAATTTTGCAATTTTGCAATTGTCTTGATGAGTGCGAGAGTAAAACTTCGGCAGTTCTCTTTTCAGCCATGTTTCTGTTTTATATTTCTTCCTTACCCAAATTTTATCTAACATTACTTAACGATATATTTGTTGTTCTTATCCTAGTAAGTCAGTTATGACTCGTGATTGGTTGGTGTTTACTGTAAAGTTGATTTTTCGAGGAGTGATGGGCCAGTAGTGAATGTACTGATTGGATGCAACAAATTTTTGAGTACGTGCTATTATATGTTGTTATGAAGTTGGGTAGAGTAATTGTGAAGTGGCAGGCAGGAAGCTAAAATGTGTGGTTCCTTTAAGAGATTTGTGTTTTGTCTGTACTTGAATGTACATTTTTTAAAAATTTCTGTGAGCACCAGCTGAAGTTGCCAGTACAGAGAGCCTCAAAAATTGAAACAAGTGTATAAAAAAAAATGCCTTGCTGGTGGCAGACAAAGTAGCAGTCTTGTTTTGATGTTGTGATGAGTTTGAATTTGGTCTATTAATTTAAACGAAGCACCTAGATACAGAAAGCCAATTGAATTTAAATCTGATGGTGTTGACAACCTAAAACCAATCATATTATAAGAATTTGATTATGTCATTATGGGTATATAAGACGAGGGCATTTGGAAAATCGGAGAGAGCCAACTGCCATCTGAAAGAGAGAATCATGCGCCACCCGCCAGAATTAGCACCATTCAGCTCTCAGAGAAAGCCCATCTAATTAATCAAATGTACCACGGTATTTTAGCTCAAAGTCATCATTGAAGAAATTACAGATAAAACATCCCTGACTGCAGAATTAATGGAAGAAAGGCATTTGTGAAGACAGTGGAGACGACAGAATGTTCCAGAAGACAGTCTGTGCGAATTTGGAGGGGTTAAGTTATAATTTATTGCTTCTTAATAATTGGGTTTATGTTAGTGGGACTTGTCTGTATTTAACAGCATTCCAGTAAAATTTAAACCAGTTAGGGAGTAGTTAGTAGTATGGGGGGAATTGTCGGTTTGTTAGTAATTTTGTTAATTTGTTCATGGGGTTACATAAATAAATTGTTTTTTGTTACTTGTAAAGTGGAGATTTTCTTTTCGCCCCTCTTTTGTTGTTTTTCTCCATTAAAGGCTGCAAAAACATCCCTCGGTTCCTTAACAGGAACAACGTCAAAATACAGAGTCATAGAGAATAACTAAAATAAAACAGAATTGTGGATTTAAAGTATTGGCAAAGATCTGTAGCATGAGTTGCGAATGAGGTTGTTGACTAGCTCACCGAGCAAGCTTGTTTTGATTCTCCAGCAATTTGTTTTAATTTCAGATGCCCAACATCCACAGTTCTGAGGTTATTGATTTGGTCGCCAAGCAGGCTTGTTTTTGTTCAGACGTTTTGTCAGCATGCGAGATATGACATCATCAGTGGAGCCTCTGATGAAGCTTAATCCAGAGACTCAGATAATGTTCTGGGGCCTGGGTTCGAATGTTGCCATGGCAGATGGTGGAGTTTGAATTCAGCACATATCTGGAATTCAGAGTCTAATGATGACCGTGAATCCATTGTCGATTGTTGGAAAAACCCATCTGGTTCACTAATGTCCTTTAGGGGAGGAAACTGCCATCCTTACCTGGTCTGGCCTACATGTGACTCCAGACCCACAGCAATGTGGTTGACTCTTAACTGCCCTCTGGGCAATTAGGGATGGGCAATAAATGCTGCCTAGCCAGCGATGGCCTCATCCTGTGAATGAATTAAAAAACAACATATAGCAAAGCCCACTATCACATTATATGGTCCGGCAGCATCTGTGAAGAAAAACCAGAGTTAACGTTTGGGGTCCGGTGACCTTCCTCAGAACAGGATCGCTGGACCTGAAATGTTATCCTTGGTTTCTCTTCACTGATGCTGCAGGACCTGCTGAGCTTTTCAAGAGGTTTCTGTTTTTGTTTCTGATTTACAGCATCTACAGTTCTTTTGTTTTTTTAACACATCATATTGGTTATATTCAGTATAGCTCACCTATTTTCTCCTACTGTCAGCTTTTATCACTTACTGATTGTTTTTTTCTGTCCTGATGTGCTATCCATACTGTCCTGGTTTAAGTATCCCCTCCATATGCCTGTCTCTCACTCCCTCGCTGGCCTCCATTTCCACCTATCCACGCGCACACAGACAGACAGACACACACACAGACAGACACGCCCTCTCCCATCACCCCACCCACTTCGATTTCAGCATAAATACCACATACATTTCTCTTTCCCATCATTTGAGTTTGTGTCACTTCCCCCAACCTCCCCAGGATCTATTCTTGGCCCTCTTCTGATTTTCATCTTGCATGCTGCCTGTCACTGAATTTATCTGAAAACCCAGTCAGTATTCATATATATGCTGAAGAAACCCAGCCCTTGTGTCACCAAGAATCTCCACAATCCATCAAACTACTGTCCACAATAATTATTAAATATGAAGTGTCTTCGTACCAATTTTCAGATGAATGCTCTACAGTTGAGCAAGTTCAAGATTGAGGTCAACAAGGCAAACGAGGAGTATGAGTTTAGAGTGGAAAATTGAGATTTAGATAAAAGTTCATTGGTAGTCTTGGTGGAGGATGGAACAGGATTGAGCACCTTTCCACTGCTCTTTTTATTTGTATCATCATATGGTATGTTTTCTCTCTTTAAGGCATTAGGCAAATATTGTTTGTTGATTTTCATGATTGCATTTACATTGTTCCAATTGGTTTTGATGAACCTCTTTCTTATTTTCTCTTAGGTGGGGGCTCAAATCCATTCCAGCACTTGGACAAAGGTTCTGTACTGCAGGAGGTGAGCAGTGATTACTGTCCTGAGCTATAGCAATAGTATCCCAATTTTCTAGATTAGCTGGTGTGGATGCCATAGTGCCTCCACCGATCCCTTGACCTCGAGAGGGTACAGGTCATCCCAGCTTCCTATTGTGGATCACTATACGGTGACCCCAGCCACAGTGTTTGTGTGTGTCTAACTGTCAGGTGGAATGCTGACCATTCATGTTTCCATACTGCAACTTTGAAGCCTCTGCTCATCTGTGCTCCCACTATTTTGTGCATAGAGCTAGTGGCCTCCCCTTTCGCTTGCAATGATCTAGCCTCTCTGTGAAGCTTGATTTAAGTGACAGCGGGAAGTAATAGAATTAGAGCTGGTGGCATGTAGAGGCAAAGAATAAACAAAGAGCACCAATTAATGCAAGCGCCCACATTCTAATTTCAGTATTGAGACCTGGGTAATGAGCTGCATGCACTATTGGGGATCATCTACAAGGCACAGGTCAGGAGTGTGGTGAAATGCTTTTCATTTGCCTGTATGAGTGCAGCTATATCAACTCTTATCACCCAAAAGCAGGACAAATCCAATCCAGCCAATTACCACCCTATCAGTCGGCCCCCTGACATTAACAAAGGGATGAAAGGGATCATGAGCAGTGCTATCAATCAAAACATGCAAAGGAATAACCTACCCACTGACCATCAGTTTGGCTTCTGTCAGGGCAACTTGGTTCCTGACTTCATTACTGCATGATTACTGTAGGAAAATTGCTGAACTCCACAAGTGAGGTGAGAGATGTCCAACCATCTTCAGCTATTTCATCAATGTACTTGCTGATGATTGCACACATTTAGCATCATTTGCGATTACTCGGGTTTTGAACCAGACAGTGTTTATATGCAGCAAGATCTGGACAACATTCAAGCCTGGGATGATAAGTGGCAAGTAACATCTGTGCCCTTCAAGTGCCAGGCAATGACCTGTCTAATAAGAAAGAATATAACTATTGGCCTTTGATATTGAATGTATTACTTTGGCTGAATCCCTCATTATCATCATCCAGGGGGCTACCATTGACCAGAAACTGAACTTGACAAGCCATATATATTGGTGGCTGTAAGAGCAGGTCACCCTTGGAATTCTGTGGTGACTAACTCACTTCCTGTGTTCCCAGGGCTTGTCTACTTTCTGCAAGGCTCAGTTTGGGAGTGTGGTGGGAATGGCTCCACTTGCTTGAATGGATGCTATTCCAACAACTTGAGAAGCTGGATGCCATCCAGAACAAAGCCGCCTGCTTCATTGAAATAGAAATTGCTGAAGAGCTTCTTTTGAAGAAGAGTCATCGGACCCAAAATGTTGACTCTGCTTTCTCTCCACAGATGCTGCCAGATCTGCTGAGTTTCTCTAGCAATCTCTGTTTTTGTTTTAGATTTCCAGCATCCGCAGTTCTGTTTTTGTTCAGCTTGCTTGATTAACTCCCCATCCACCTTCAACACTGTATTCGTCACCATTCACAGTGGCAGCAGTGTGTACCATCTATAAAATTCACTGCAGTAACTCACCAACGCTCCTTTAACAGTGCCATCCAAACCAGTGACCTCTACCACTTAGAAGGACAAAGGCAGTAGATGCATGGAAACACCACAAGTGTGGGTTTCTCTCCAAGCCACACACTTTCCTAATTTGGAGCAATATTGCTTTTCCTTAACCTATGCTGGCTAAAAATCCTGGAACCCCGTTCCTAGTAGCATTGAGCGTCTGTACGTTCCAGAGACTGCAGTGGTTCAAGAAGGCAGATAACACAACCATCTTCGAGGCAGTTATCCTTCTCTTATCCTTCTCTTCCTTCTTTAAGAGTTTGCCTGGCATGCTATTAAATGCATCTGTGTGATTCGCCTCAGTTACTCCTTGTGGTAGCAAGTTCTATACTCTCTGGGTTAACAGATTTCTGCTAAGTTCCTTTTTGGGTTTAAAGCTTTTTGGCAAAGATTTGTAGCTCGGGTTGTGGATGAGGTTATTGACTTGCCTGCCGAGCTGGCTTGTTTTCGTTCAGACTTTTTGTCACCAAACTAGGTAACATCATCAGTGAGGCCTCTGATGAAACGATGTTGTTCAATTCCACTTGGAATTTATACTGTCCAGTCTGTTATGGTGAGTAGTGTCATTTCCAGTTTTGTTCTATATCGGTTTGTATATGGGGTCCAATTCTGTATGTTTGTTGATTGCATTATGGGTTGAGAACTGTGCCTCTAGGAATTCCCGTGTGTGTCTATGTTTGGCTAGAGGCATGGTTCTCAATCCATAATGCAGTCAACAAACATACAGAATTGAGCCCCATATGCAACCCATATAGAACAAAACCGGAAATGACACTATTCACCATAATGGACTGGACAGTATAAATTCCAAGCAGAGTAGAACAACATCGCTTCATCGGAGGCCTCCCTGATAATGTTACCTAGCATGGTAATGAAACGTCTGAACGAAAACAAGCCAGCTCGGCAAGCAAGTCAACAACCTCATCCTGTTTGGGTTTATTAGTGACTCTTGTTTATAGCCCACAGTTTGAACTCCTGCACAAGTACAAACCTTTTCTCCACATCTGACCTATCAAATAATTTGTAATGTTAAATGCCTCTGTTAAGTCATCCTCAAACTTTTTCCTTTCTAAAAGAAGTGGAGAAGTAAGCTTTGAAATGTGTGTGTACGTGCATACTGATGTGTGGTTTTAATTGAATAGCTTCAGAGGGAAGCCAGCAATATGCTGTGAAGTGCTGTATTCTCTCATTAACACACAGAAATATTTTATCTTGTTGCTTTTGTCTAGCCTTACCCAGCTGATTCAAAATCTATTGAGACTACAGGCAAAGCTCTTTATAATCACAGATCTGGTTGTTTTATTCCAAACAAAGAGACAATCTAAGTGTGCCATGAATGCTTGAATTTGTGCTGGGAACTGCATTAGATTTTATGATCAAGTAATAAATATTCTAGAGATTTCATGGACTGAATAGGCATTCTTAACCTGCCTCTGCATGTCATATGGATTTGCTGAGATTGTTAATGATATAATGCATACCCTACTTTTGTTTTTGCTGTTGTTTCATTGCAGGCTCGAGTGTTTAACGAAACTCCCATCAACCCTCGGAAATGTGCTCATATTCTGACCAAGATCCTGTATCTAATAAATCAGGTTGGGCCTCTTTTTGTAGCTTTGAGAAATAATCTTAGTATTTTGAACAGTTGGCCAGTAATTTATTTGAACTGTACTCTCAAATCTTTGGACAATTTGTAGCTGATCATGTCAATCTGAAAGACTCAATCAGCGTCATTGTTGGGAAGCTTTGCCACACAAAGTGTGTAAATGTGAGGCAGAGGGTGCTTAGAGGTGGTAGTCGCGGTGATGCTGTGTACAGGTGCACTAACCTGGGATGGTGATATTCTCCAAAATTGGTCCCAGCAGATTTAAAAATACCTGTGCAGATTTTGTGGGTTTTATAGGCACATAGAATGTGGAGCACAATAATGGACTGACTGGTGTGTAAGCAGTGGTTTGTGCTTCTTATGAACCTCCTTGCTCACTGCTTCATCTCACCCTATTGCAATGTCGTTATGGCCCATTCTCCCTCCTGCTTTTATGTAGTTTGAATGCATCTCTGCTTGCTTTTCACTTTTGCAATTCCCTAGCATATGATCTAGGTTTGTAGTCAGTGATGGTTAAAGGGTGATGTGATTGAGATCTTTTCGGATATAAGAGGGAAATAATGAGTTAACTGAAAATAAATTTTCCGCTGGTGTGCTGCCTAGGGCTAAGGAGCATGATCTTAAAAATAAATAGATCCAAGCCATTCAGGTGGGAGGTTAGGGAACACGTCTTAATTTGCAAGGTGGTTGACATGTAGAACTCTCTTCCACAAAAAGCTAGAGAGATTGATTGATTAATTTTTGCCGATGAGGATATAAAATAGCACGGAACCAAAATGGGCATTGCAGGTTCCTTGGGCAGTAGGTTTGCTATTGATCGATGAACTTGAAAGTGTCCTGTCTTGTGATGGAAGTCATATCTATTTATAACACACAACTGAACCAGTACATATGTCCAGTTTATTGGCATTCTTGCTTCAGAAACAGAAGTCTGACCCCTGTTGTAAGGACTTCACGTAATTTGGCTTGACATTTCAGCACAGTACCAAGGGAATGCTGCATTGTCAGAGCTGCCTTTGTTTTGAATAAGGCAAATTGAGCTGCATCTGAGTGTGCAATTGGATGTAAAAAATCACATGACATTGTTCAATGGATATGTCCACTGCTGTGGTCAATATTTATCCTGTAACCAACACCACCAAAAGTAGTTATTTGGAATTAGTCTGATTTGTTATTGCTAAGATACTGATTAGATGCAATTACCTTTATACAATAGGGATGTGACTTTAATAAACTATGGCAGTTAGAAATATTTTACTTAAGTAATAGAATTCTTAAAGCAGCAATATAACTTTCCAGGGTCAGTTTGTAAATTTCTCTAAAAGTAAGTAATGTGGTGCTTAACTTTTTTTGCAAATCATATTGAGAGAATGGAAAATGTAAACATTATAAAATATATAATAGAATTATAATAATTAGTGAGGCATTTCAACAACATAAATTTTGTGTAAAGAGCAATTGTTCAGTTAACAAGGATACTGGTAAATGGGGGGGAAAATGAACTGCTTAAAGGAGAGCACTTGCAGGATGATGGCGAAAGAGTGATGAGTGACCGAGGACTGAGTGATCTGTGCTGTGTGATTATACAAATTTTTGTTAGATCCAGAATCCATTATGGGTATGGAAGGGAGTTTAAAAGGATAAATGTGGATGGCGAATGTGCTTCATCTACTCAAGACACCCAACCCCCGGCCCACTGTCCTACCACCACAGCATCTCAGTTACTTCATGAGTGCAAGCCTTTCACTTCTGTTATCAGATGGAGAGCTCCATATTTCGCATGCTTTGTGAAGAATGTCTGAAATGTGGGCATCCACAAGTTGAGCTCTGCTACCTTGTCCAATTATGACAGCTAAACTTGAAGGAATATTCCAAATTTATTTTTTCTGCGTCATTCATCCAACACTAAAATCCCTTTTTGTATACTTCAGTGGTGAAAATCCAAGTTTATTCCAGTCTTATTATATAGACCAATCTTATTGTTATACTGCAGAGTCTCAATTACCTCTTATATCTGATGATCAAAACTGGCTTCCATAACTGAGGTATAGAATGACCTTCCATATCACAACTGTTCTGGCATCATTTGGTATCACCCAATTCTTACAGCACAGAAGCTGACCATTTTGTCCTATACCTCTCAGAATAATTCAGTTTCCTATTCAATTTACTGATTACTGTACTTCTTGCTTGTAGCATTTGGACATATAAACTACTAGTGTACTTGACTGTTGTGATTAGAGATGTGTGATGGAAAAAATATGCAAATATACCTTCCCCTTTAGGAGCAGTTATGCTTTTCAAATTGTTTCTGATGTATTACTGACTTGTAGACAACAGATGGTGCTGGTGCTTCATGAACAGACTTCTTGTATTTTCTGTTACTTTTAAGACGTTAGCCTTGAAACTACAGCATGTGCAGCGTGGGAGATTTTTTAATTAATTGTTCCTAATGAAACATCCTCAACAGCTGGCTGTAAACTAATAACAAGTTATAAAAATGACATTATTTGGATTTTCATAAACAAAAGGAAGTAAAATTCTTAAGAGTAAGGTTTGGAGCTGTTTGTACCTTTTTTCTATTTATCCAGCAAATCTTCTTTCCACTTCCCGTTTCCGTAATACTACCATGGTGACAAACTAGCAGGTTTTATGCTATTAACCAATGAGTGTTGTGATGAATCTTGCATTTTGTGAAACATCTGTTTTCTTTATATGATGGTTTCTTTAAATCCAGAGTGGATTAAGTTCGGAGAAATTTATTTCACCAAGATACTAAACAGTGAACGTGTGACTTAAGTTGTGATGAAAAGGTGAGTTTTCACAATCAAAAGCATATAGGCAAGTGACTGGGAGTCAGACTGTAGCTGAGTTTGGAGCTGAAAATAAGACCATTTGCGTATAAAATCTTTCAATAGCAGAAGAAGCAAACTTCGTGGAACAGGAAATTTTTAACAGAGCCAAGTGGACTGTATTACTGGGTTTATTCAAGGGGTCAAGCAAAGGAGTCTCTGGAAATTCATGCTGTCAGGCCTGATGTGACTGGTGGGAGTGAGTGTTGGTAGCTGTGTGCTTAGCTAGTGATAATTTTGTGGGAATACTGTGGAGACTTTGCATTTATAGCTCACCATATTCTGTGTGAAATGTGCATTTTTGTATGCATATGATTTGGCACAAGCCTAAAGTCAGAAGTTTAGAAATTTGGAAAGAACCAAACCTTTAATGAATTTGCTAGAGAGAAGATGGTTTTGTTGGAAGAAGTTAAAAATAGTGACCCTTGCAGAATAAGTTCCCACTGAGCCAAATGTGTAGTTCATAAAGTTTGCTGAAGTTTGGAAACTCTTGATTAATGGGGGAGAAAGGGATTTCACAATGAGCTGAGATATGGTCCTAGTGAAGAACAAGGCTGAGTGAAAAGGCTCCTGAGATTAGTAAAAGAGAAGGTCCAGAGAATAACTTTGATGCTAAGGTCTGACATGTTATTCATGTAATGTAAAGGACATGTAAATGTTAAATGTGGGAAAGCCACTTCGCAAAATGACCTTATATCTTGTGGAAAAATGTAGATGGAACATGGAAGAAATAGAGTTCTTATATTATTTTTATACAGGGGGAGCATTTTGGCTCCATAGAGGCTACAGAGGCATTTTTCGCCATGACCAAGCTCTTCCAGTCAAATGATGTAAGTACAGAATGTTTCCAATTTATGAATGCAATCCAACATGGGTGGTGTAATTTGTAATATCTGACACAGGAACATTTCCTGTACTTGTGTATAGCTGTTTCATATTGTCCTGCATGGTGTTCCCGATTGAGTAGAAATCGAGTTACGAGTGGATTCGAACAGAGCCTGTTTGCAACCCAGGGACTACCCTTTATTAACTACTGGTTGGCAAAAAAAACTCTGCCTGTTTTATGACTGGGTTATTTGTACCAATGTGTTCCAGCAAACAATGCTTGAACATAGTGTTTGATGCGTGATTCATTATCCTGAATTAATTCCACTACTGGTGACCAATTTGCAGCCGCCAGTACTCCACCTTGGTGATATACTGTCCGAAGTGCCGACCTCAAGCACAGCGCGTTTTATTCTACTGTTTCCAACATCAAAACTTGCAAATACCCAACCTTACATTTTATAGAAGTCATAGTGAAAAAATTATTGTTCCCAAATTTAACTTTAGATTTTGGTTAGGTCCGGTAATAAATTTCAAAAGTCACTTGTTTGTGATCATGTGACTAAAGTGACATCTCGGGGGCGTTTATACTTTTCATGTTGTTAAAATATATCAGAGGTAAGTAGGATCAAATCATTCTCGCTAAGTGGATCCTTATAAATATGCTAAAGATTTATAAATAACACAACTTTTTAACTTACATGTCATTGTTATGATTCTTTTTTCATGTTAATCCAATGCAACCATTGCTCGTAAGACTGACGTTTATTGTCATTGAGAAGGTAATGGTGACTTGCTTTAGTAAATGGGTGCAGTCCATATATAGAAGGTATAAGACAGGGCAATGCATGGAAGAAAGATGATGCAACATTAGGACCAGTCACCAATGATAAAGCCCCTCTTTCTTTCTCCGCCACTCTGTAATTTGGAAGTAAAACATGTGACGATGGGACATTCTAGGGAAGAAATGACTTTGAACCCATCATTCCCAAAATGTTCTAGTGGAGTTTTCCCTGCCTGGTGTTGTAGACAAATTGATTGTTATCAAGTATCAAAATTGCCATTATTGTCTAATGCAACCACTTGTATGGCAGAAGGTGAATGAAATGTAGTCTTTTTCATCCAGCAATGCCTGGCCTTCATGCTTTTGTTTTATGGCAGCATCTTACATGCATTAGAACCTTCTAGATGAACCACAGCTGCTGTTGGATGGAAGGGCTGCCATTTTGACACTCGTGTCAAGAGAAGGCTGGGTTTGATGCCAATAAGTGGGATTTGAGAGTGCAGACGCTGGATCAAAGCTGAAGGGCTGGGTTGGTGAATGTCCTCCAGATACACCCTTCTGAGGATCTTAGTGCAACCACCATCGTTTGATATTATCATATACCACTGGGACCTTGACAGGATTCATTGTAGAGCAGGTTGTGGAGAGGGAATGAAATCATGTCTACTGAGGGATCTGTACCGCTGGGACCGTCTTCACCTGAACTGAGCTGGGACCAATGTTCTACTGAAAAGGGTAAATAGGCTGTTCAACAGGACTTAAAACTTACCCCAGTAGGAAACAAAGCAGCAGGTTAACATCTGTAGGGGTGGCTTCAACTGCATGGAAGAATGTGAAAGAAATGACAGGAAAGGAGAACTCAGGAGACGTTATTAAAGTCTCCAGCGCAGACACAAATAGGACAGTGTGTTTGGAAAGGGTTAGGAATCAAACTTCAAGCACACTGAATAAATGAATGAGAAGAGGGACAGTTAATACATCACTGAAGGTGTTATATCAGTAGAAGGAATAGGGTAAATCAGCTTGTGGCACAGATTGAAATGAGCAGGTATCATGCAGTGGGCATCGCAGAGGCGTAGCTGCAAAGGGATCAGGATTGGGAGCTGAATATCCAAGGATATACAGCCTATCGAAAAGATAAGCAGGTGGGCAGAAGCGGTGGGGTTACCTTATTAGTAAGAAATGAAATTCATAGAATTCCGACAGTGTGGAAACAGGCCCTTCAGCCCAAGAAGTCCACACTGACCCTCGGAGCATCCTACCCAGACCCATCCCCTATCACCCACCTAGTCTACACATCCCTAAACACGGGCATAGCCAATCCACCACGCATGCACATCCTTGGACTGTGGGAGGAAACTGGAGTACTTGGAGGAAATCCACGCAGACATGGGGAGAATGTGCAAACTCCACACAGTCACCCAAGGTTGGAATCAAACCTGGGTCCCTGATGCTGTGAGGCAGCAGTGCTAACCACCAAGCCACTGTGCTGCCCTTAAAAAAAAAAAAAAAAAAAAAAAATCAATAGTAAGCATCGAAGAAGGGCCAGAAGGTGTAGAATCTGTGTGGGTAGAATTGAGGAACCTCAAAGGTAACAAAAAAAACCATAATTGGAGTTATATACAGGAGCTGTGGCACAAGATACACCAGGAGATAGAAAAGGTGTGTAAGAGAGGCAAAGTTGCAGTGATCATGGGGATTTTCAATATGCAGGTGACTGGGAAAATCAGGTTGGTAATGGATTGCAAGAAAAGGAATTTGTGGAATGTCTATGAGATGGCGTTTTGGAGCAGCTTGTGGTGGACCCCACAAGGGAACAGGCAATACTGGATTTAGTGTTGTGCAATGAGGCAGACTCGATAAGAGAGCTTAAGGTGAACGAACCCTTAGGAGGCAGTGATCATAATGTGATCAAATTTATTCTGAAGTTTGAGAGGGAGAAGATAGAATCAGAGGTAACGGTATTACAACTGAATAAAGGCGACTACAAAGGCATGAGGGAGGAGCTGGACAGAATTGACTGGGAGAGGAGCCTAGCAGGAAAGACATTGGATCAGCAATGGCAGGAGTTTCTGCGAGTAATTCAGGAGACACAGTACAAGTTTATCCCTAGGAAAAAGAAGCATGGTACAGGGACAATGAGGCAACCATGGCTGACAAGGGAAGTCAGGGACAGCATAAAAGCAAAAGAGAAAGCATATAATGTGGCGAAGAGCAGTGGGAAACCAGAGGACTAGGAAGCTTACAAAAACCAACAGAGGGCAACAAAAAAAGAAACATGGAGGGAGAAGATTGAATATGAGGGTAAGCTAGCCAGTAATATAATGGAAGACTGTAAGAATATCTTTAGATATACAAAGGGCGAAAAAGAGGCAAAAGTGGACATTGGACCAGTGGAATTTGACACTGGAGAGATAGTAATGGGGAGCAAGGAAATGGCTGAAGAACTGAATAATTACTTCACATCAGTCTTCACGGTGGAAAACATAAGTAATCTCCCAAAAATTCAAGAGAGACAAGGGGTAGACCTGAGTATGATGGGCATCACCAAGGAGAAGGTGCTAGAAAAACTGAATGGCCTGAAGGTGGATAAATCACCTGGACCAGACGGATTACACCCCAGAGTTCTAAAAGAATTAGCTGTAGAGATAGTGGAGGTGTTAGTGGTGATCTTTCAGGAATTGCTAGAGTCAGGCTGGGTCCCAGAGGACTGGAAAATTGCTAACATGATACCCCTGTTTAAAAAGGAAGTAAGGCAAAAGATGGAAAATCATAGGCTGATTAGCCTAACCTCGGTTGTGGGTAAGATTTTGGAGTCTGTTGTGAAGGATGAGATTTCTGAATACTTGGAAGTGCATGGTAAAATAGGGCAAAGTCAGCACGGCTTCATCAAGAGGTGGTCATGTGTGACAAATCTGTTAGAAGCCTTTGAGGAAGTAATGAGCAGATTAGACCAAGGAGAGCCAATGGATGTTACCTATCTGGACTTCAAGAACCCTGCTGAGTAAGATAAGGGCCCTTGGTGTTAGAGGCAAGGTGCTAGCATGGTTAGAGGATTGGCTCTCTAGCAGAAAGCAGAGAGTGGGGTTACAAGAGTCTTTCTCAGGATGGCAGCCAGTGTCAAGTGCTATTGCACAAGGGTCCACGTTGGGACCACAACTTCTCACTTTATACGTTAATAATCTAGATGAAGGAACCGAGGACGTTCTAGCTAAGTTTGCAGACAATACAAAGATAGGTAGAGGGACAGGTAATATTGAGGAGGCGGGGAAGCTGCAGAAGGATTTGGACAGGTTAGGAGAGTGGGCAAAGAAGGCAGATGGAGTACAACATGGGAAAGAGTGAGGTCGTGCATTTTGGTAAGAAGAATAAAAGCATGGACTATTTTCTAAATGGGGAGAAAATTCAGAAAGCTGAAGTGCAAAGAGACTTGGGAGTTCTAGTCCAGGATTCTCTCAAGGTAAACTCGCAAATTGAGTCAGCATTTAGGCAGGCAAATGCAATGTTGGCACTTAGTTGAGAGGACCTGAATATAAAAGCGGGGGTAAAAACCGAAAGAACTGCAGATGCTGTAAATCAGGGACAGAAACAGAAGTTGCTGGCAAAGCTCAGCAGGTTTGGCAGCATCTGTGAAGAAAATATCAGAGTTCACGTTTTGGGTCCGGTGACCCTTCCTCAGATCAATAAAAGTAGGGATGTACTTCTGAAGCTCTGTAAGGCGCTGGTCAGGCCACATTTGGAGTATTGTGCACAGTTTTGGGCCCCATGTCTCCGGAAAGATGTACTGGCCCTAGTGTGGGTTCAGAGGAGGTTCGTGAGAATGGTTCCAGGAATGAAAAGCTTAACATTTAAGGAACGTTTGAGGACTCTGGGTCTATACACGATGGCGTTTAGAAGGATGAGGGGGGGATCTAATTGAAACTTACAGAATACTGAATGGCCTGGATAGAGTGGACGTTGGGAAGATGTTTCCATTGGTAGGAGAGGCTAGGGTCGGAGGACACAGCCTTAGAGTAAAGGGGAAACCTTTTAGAGCGGAGATAAGGAGAAACTTTAGCCAGAGAGCAGTGAATCTATGGAACTCACTGCCTCGGAGGGCTGTGGAGGCTGGGTCATTGAGCATATTTAAGACAGAGAGAGATAGATTGTTGATTGTCAAGGGGATCAAAGGTTATGGGGAGAAAGTGGGAGAATGGAGTTGAGGAACTTATCAGCCATGATTGAATGGCAGAGCAGAGTCGATGGGCTAAATGGCCTAAATTCTGCTCCTATGTCTTATGGTCTTATGAAAATTGGTGACGAGCAGGGCAGTGATGTCTTGTTTTGGATTATGTTTCGCTCAATAATTTTCATTCATTGTGCAATCTTACTATGTCAAAAATTATTACTGCTGTGGTTGGCTTTATAGTCATGAAATTGGAATGACAAAGTAATTTATTGGACATGAATTGTGCCTTAATACGATGCTAAATAAATGCAAACCTTGTCTTCATAGATTAATTTTTCTGAATCTGTTCAAGGAAGTCATGGAACTGGTGACTAATTTTCATGCACAAATTTTCAAATAATTGCTGAAAATTGTTGACATGGAACGTCAAATGATTAACTTCTGTTTATACTTTTATCTGTATCAGCCCACCCTACGAAGGATGTGCTACTTGACAATCAAAGAGATGGCTAACATTGCTGAGGATGTCATCATCGTTACCAGCAGGTTAGTATTACAGGGAATCTATTAACAGGTGGTTAAAATACTTCAACTGTATTCCCTCCCAACTTGGCTGTTTGCCCACTCCGTCCCCAATTCTACTTGTATATTTTATGGTCTTGTAGGAGAATGTGGTTGAGAAGCATATCAGTCTTGATTGAATGGCAGAGCAAACTCAAAGAGCCAAATGGCCTATTTCTGCTCCTATATCTTATGATCTTATGAACTAAAGTTGGTCCCTGGACCTATGTTTCCTTTGTGCTGAAAGAGTAAGAGACTGCAGCCTGTGATGCTTGGCAATGGCTCGTACGTATGAGCAGAGTGTTTATGGGATTGCCGTCTTGTCAACTTAGCTGTTGTTGACCCGTTTGTCTGTCAGTCCCTCTCCTTGCTGACATAGTATCCTGCATCAACACAGTGTGGAGCTGGAGGAACACAGCAGGTCAGGCAGCATCAGAGGAATAGGAAAGTCAATGTTTCCGGTTGGGACCTTTCATCAGAGCTCCCGACCTGAAACGTCGACTTTCCTGTTCCTCTGATGCTGCCTGACCTGCTGTGCTCCTCCAGCTCCACACTGTGTTGACTCTGACTCTGCAATTCTTGCTATCTCTGACTTGGTATCCTGTCCAGTTACACCTTGCTTCAACATTTGGCTGAGGCGCCAGAGTACGGGGCTCCTGCCAACAATGGTTTGTAATGCAGTCTGTAAAAGCTGTTGAAATAGCAACTTTAACTCACAGGATTTCACTCGGTAAAATACAAGCATGAGAGGAATACCATATGCTGTAGAAGTTTGCCTGCAGGGTAATTTTGTTCCAGTGTCTTGTAATTTTGATTATATTACTGGCTTACGGGAAATAAATCAAACCAGAAGGACTATAATACCAATTGCAGATAATACAATCTTCACAGGCAAGGGCTGTTAATAACATTTACTCTCCGTCACACAGTATATTGTTTCCACAGTGACACTCTTCTTTTACATTTTTGTTTTAAAACAGTATATTTCTCCTGGCCCGATTAATTCAACATATGTAAGGACCCTCTTGCAGCCCCCGAGCACCCTTTAGTCAAGACCACCTTTCCTTAATTTTTCTCCATGTGCTCGTTGTAAATGACCAATGAACATGTTTTTGAAAATATTTGTGAGGAGGACTGTTGGCCATCTGATCAAATATTTTTTGAAGTCTGATTTGATCGTAACAAATGAAAATTGAAAGTTAAGGAGCTGCAAAACATTGATGTTTCTTGGGAGGAGCGAGTCTGGGTAGGAGACGGTGCATTGAATGTCAATAGACAGCATTCGAGGCTCAATCCAGGTACTTGAGTTCATAATCTTGGCTGATACACTGGTGCAGAACTAAGGGACTGTTTTGTGGATGATACTGGCTTTCGGATGAGAGGTTTGGAGGGCCTGGACTGCTCTCTGGTGGGGATAAAAGATCCCACTGCTTGTAGGAGGAGCAGGGGAGTTTTCACTGTGTCTTGGACAATATTTATACTTTTAGCAGCATTGCTGTTTGTGGGATCTTGCTGTGTCCAAGTTATTTGCGGTGATATTAAGTTACAACAGTGACAGTGACTATAAAATGATTTATTGACTTTAAAGAGCTCATAGAAAATGCTGTGCAGATGTAATCTTCCCCCCACCCACCCCCAGCTTCCAAGTACTGTTTTAATAAACAACACAATGCATGTACATGTGCTGTGACGGTTTAATTGGTCATTTAGCCAGAAAAGGAATACTGTTCATAGTTAAAGTTAAAAGGATTAATTTTTTTAATCTAGCAAAGTTTTTGCTTCAATCATTATTCTGCATTCCCTTTTTCCCTTCAGCCTGACTAAAGACATGACTGGGAAAGAAGACAATTATCGGGGACCTGCTGTGAGAGCACTGTGTAAAATTACTGATGTAAGTACCAAGCTGAAAAGGTGGACCTGCATGTGAACATAATTTATAGGATAGAAATGTTTGTTTTTTAAAAACCAAATTATAAAACACATTTTGTTGACTAACACAATGTGTCGTTCTGTTCAAATCTTGGTTCCACAGCAGTAAGGACCCTAAATTGGAGATTGTCTGTCCAGTTTCCAGTAGAAATTGGTGGTGTTGCCCATAGATAATGGAATGACTGGGTTCTGCTGCAGAAATGGTTAAATTGGTGTGGTGGAATTTGAAACACTTTGTTGGGATACAGCAAGAGATTGCTTCACCATGCATCTAACCTGCACTATCCTGCTTATGGAATGATGGGTTGATAGGACTTAATTATGAAAAGGATATATTCTAGTTCCCAGTACTGACATCACTGCCCATAGTTATAAGCATTGAAAGTGCAATTGTCTCTATTCATCAGGCGGTTTTTTTTTTTGACATGTGTTTCTTTATTCACATGTATCCTGGCAACTTTTTGATTATATTGTTGTCGGCCTATGGCCTGTTGCACATGATCGATTTTCATTGCTCCACCTTTGGCCGGTGTGTCTTTGGGTGATTGACCCTGGGGTTTCCTCCCTAACACACTCTGCCTTTTGATATCTCCCGACCCAGTACGTTTGATCAAAGGGACATTCTCCATTTGGAGTCAGAGAATGTCAGAAGCCCGACTCTGTTTTCATCTCCTGAGATTGGAGTGGCAGGACCACGGGTACTAAGATTATTTGTAATGTCTTGATACCACTCCAGGGTGAAACCAACAAACGTGACAGATACCTGAAATCGTACTAGTTTCGGTCACTTTGTGCAACACCAGACACTTAGGCTATCAGGCTAACTGTTCATGATAAAGTTTCCACAGTAACAAACCCAAAGGTCTATTTGGTCCATTCATCAGGGTAAAGCAACCACAGGGAATGATTAAGCGCAGACAGTTTATCATGCCTCTGTCAATATGCATTGATTATCTTTCTTAAACAGGCTTGGACACATTTCTTCAATGTTTTTAAATGAGACTTCAAAAACATACCGATTTGAGAAAAATAAAACTGTTGCAGTAAATTACAAGTTGCCTTAACTGTATTTACAGTAAATAACATCCGCTTATGAGGTGGGAAACCATAGCAAAAGAACTGCTAAGGACATCTCACAATTCGTCTGCATTAACTACATTGTTGTGAGAATGAAACTGACTAAAATTTTGTTTTTGAGTTGTTTCAAAGAGCTGCTTATTGCAACTGTGCATTTTTAATTTGGATGGTTAATTAAAACTCTTACAAACCAAGTCAGCTCCTTGCCCACTTCTTTTGCCAACCCTTATTACTTCCGTAAAGACCTGTAAAAGCAAAAGTGGTTTGAAGTTAGAAAATCCGAAGACCTCTGCACTCTTCATACTGCCAACGTGAATCAAGCAGATGCGCCAAATGGCATAGATTAAAAAACAGACATCTTAAAAGCAGGATATAGGGCATTGGGAAGTAAGCTGAAAAGTAGGACTTTAAAAGGTAATCATCTCATGTTTACTACCAGTGCCATGTTCAAATCAGCATAGAAATAGTAGACTGTGTCAGATGAATATGCGGCCGATGAGATGGTGTGGGGGGGTAGCTTTCAGATTTCTGCGGCATTGAGACCTGTTCTGGGTGAGGAGGGGCCAGTACAAACTGGACAGGTTACACCTTGGCAGGACTGGGACTAATGTCCTAAGGAGAGAATTTGCTGGAGTGGTTGGGGAAGCTTTAAACTAAGATGATAGGAAAGAGGGCCTACACACAGTGTCAGAGGAAGGGAAATCAAGAACAAGAGCAAAAGGCAGAACAAGAAAAGTGATAAGCAGAGAAATCATGGCCCAGGATCAAACAAGGTGATAGTGAAAAATAATGGGGGCAGGGCACGTAATGTTAAAATGTCAAATCTTAAAACTTTGTGCCTTAATGCAATGAGTGTTTGCAATAGAGTCATAGAATCGCTACAGTGTGGAAGCAGGCCATTTGGTCCATCGAGTCCACGCTGACCTTCAAAACAGCATCCCACCCAGACCCAACCCCTACCCTATCCCTGTAACCCTGCATTTCCCATGGCCAATGCACCTAACCTGCACATCTTTGGACTGTGGGAGGAAACCGGAGCACCCAGAGGAAACCTACGCGGCCATGGGGAGAACGTACAAAGCCCAGTCACCCGAGGGTGGAATCTAACTCGGGTCCCTGGCACTGTGAGACAGCAGTGCTAACCACTGAGTCACTGGGCCACCCATAATAAGTGGTTAAATTAATCGCGGAAGCAGATGAAAACAGGTATCACAAAGCTGATATTACAGAGGCATGGCTGCAGGTTGACCGGGAATGGGAAGAGAACATCCAATGGTAATAAGTTTTTCAGAAGGATAGACAAAAAGGAAAAGGCAGTGCAGTTGCTTTGCTAGTTAAGCAGGAAATTAACGCAATAGTAAGGAAGGTTATTAGCTCTCACAGTGTGGAGTCCGTATGGGTAGGTCTGAGAAACACCAGGAACATTAGTTGGGCTTGTCTGTCCTGTCATTGTTTAAAATGGTGACCTTCTCTGAAGGTGCTCCTTGGGATCTCTTTCACTCACTCTACTGTATGATTCTTGACAGGGCACCATGCTGCAAGCCATCGAGCGATACATGAAGCAGGCAATCGTGGACAAAGTGCCTAGTGTCTCCAGCTCAGCATTGCTTTCCTCCTTGGTGAGTCTTGTTGTTTGTTGCAAAACATACTATATTAACTTGTATAGGAATAATGCTGGCTTGTCTGATATTGGTGTTATTTACACAGACTGATTCCATTTCTTATTCATCTTCCCGGTAATTCATTGCTCTGATTTTGTATGGTGGCACTTTATGAAGGGATGACATTTGTCTTTTCAACTTAGGATTTCCTATATGTGCTACTTTGGGATTTTGCAATTCAGCTGCAAATATCATTGGATGGATATGTTGGGAGAGGATATTATTAATCCACTGTTTCCTTTGTATCCCGCAGCACTTGCTCAAGACTGGCTTTGATGTGGTGAAGCGCTGGGTGAACGAAGCTCAAGAGGCAGCCTCTAGTGACAACATTATGGTGCAGGTAAATCGAATGCTGGCACAATCAAATCAATACAAACACTTCACTGATAACTTAGTGGGTATGTACACCACCCAGTGCACTTGGCTCAAGATTGAATCTGTACTTTTGCGCTGAATTAGCCTATTGTGTTGACCGTAGGAGATCAGAAACAAGTAAGTGATTTAGAAATCACCACTTAGTCTGCAGCCTGGAGTATTATGCCCAATGCTGAGCAGCAAACGTTAGGAAGGATGTCAAGTTTTTGGAGGCAGTGTGCAGGAGTTTTGCTAGAATGTTATTAGAGATAAAAGAAGCTCATTCTACTTACAGAAGGTCAGTGGGTGATTGAGTAGTCATGTTGAAAATTATGGATGGATTTGATAGAGTGCTGAAAGAAAACCGAAAGTACTATGAATGCTAGAAATCTGAAACAAAAACAGAAGTTGTTGGAAAAGCTCAGCAGGTCTGGCAGCATCTGTGGAGAGAAATCAGAGTTAACGTTTCAGGTCAAATGAGGGGTCTGTTCTGAAGAAGGGTCACTGGACCCAAACCACTAACTCTGTTTCTCTCTCCACTGACGCTGCCAGACCTGCTGAGCTTTTACAGCAATTTCTGTTTTTGTGTTGATAAAGTGCTGCACTATCAGGCATACTGCTTTTTACTTAAGATGGTAAACTGCTGGGCGTCTACCTATTCAAAAGGAATTCAACAATCCCCATTTTAACAGATTTTACCAGTGTTCTAGACAATATTCTCGTAATAAATGCGACTATAAAGAGCTTATTAACTTTTTCACGTCTGCATACTGGGGTTGCTGTACTTCCTCCAAAACAATGGGTGACTGCACTTCTCTCTTTCAGTATCATGCTCTGGGCCTACTGTACCACATCAGGAAAAATGACCGGCTTGCAGTTAACAAGATGGTGTCAAAGTTCTCACGCCAGGGCCTCAAGTCACCGTTTGCCTATTGTATGATGATCCGCATTGCCAGTAAATTGTTGGAGGAGGACGACAACAAGTGAGTCCTTTTCGAGGTCAAATGAACCATGTTCTTCAGTTGTACCATTGAAATTTGTGACAAGGTCTCCCACACTTCATTGAACTGGCAAGAATCAAGTTGGTGCCTTTCATAGCTCTCCCCCTTCACTCAATCATATAATGAGTGGGGAAGTCTTCTGCCTGCAAAGAACATGTATGAAATGAGTTTAGACAGTCTCAATGCAAAGGAATACATATAATTGACAGCAGGCCATTCAGCCCAACTGGGCTATGAAACGGCATAAATGCGAGGTATTGCATTTTTGAAAAACAAACAAGGGCAGGACTTGTACAATTGAAAATAGGACCTTGGGTAGTGTTGTAGAACAGAGAGACCTAGGAGTTCAGATATATAATTATTTGAAATTTGCGTCAAAGATAGACAGGTTGGTTAAGAAGGCGTTTAGCATGCTTGCCTTCATTGCTCACACCTTTGAATATAGGAGTTGGGACATCGTGTTGAGGTCGTACAGGGCGTTGGGTGTGGCCTCTTCTGGGGTACTGTGTCCAGTTCTGGTCACCCTGTTATAGGAAGGTTATTATTAAATGGAGAGGATTCAGAAAAGATTTACCAGGCAGTTGCTGGACATAGAGGGTTTGAGTTATAGGGAGAAGCTGGATAGACCGGGACATTTTTCACTAGAGTGTAGGAGGTTGAGGGGTGACCTTACAGAAGTTTATAAAATCATGAGGGGTATAGATAAGGTGAATGGCAGGTGTCTTTTCCTTAGGGTGGGGAATTTCAAGACAAGGGAGCATATTTTTAAGGTAAGAGGAGAAAGATTTAATATAAGACATGAGAGGCAACTTTTTTTACAGAGTAGTTCGTGTGTGGAATGAACTTCCAGAGGAAGTAGTGGATGCAGGTACAGTTACAATGTTTATAAGACATTTGGATAAGTATATGAATAGGAAAGGTTTGGAAGGATAAAGGCCAAGCGCAGGCAGGTGGGTCCAGTTTGGTTTGGGATTATGGTCGGCATGGACTGGTTGGACCGAAGGGTCAGTTTCTGTGCTGTATGACTCTTTGACATTGTGTTTGCCCCACAAGCAGTTTCTCCTTATCATCTTATCTTATCAGGAGATCCTGCTATTACCATCTCTCTTGTATGTGTTTTGCAGTCCCTTTAATATCTCAGTGCCATTTGCTTTAACTTCTCTTTGTGGTGGTATGTTCTATATTTTAACGACTTTGGATAAAGAATGCTGGTCCCAATGTGGACTGTACAAAATTATCCCCAATTCATGTTTGATTGAACATTCCACTCATAGATGTCATCTGAAGGCTGATAGGAGAACTAGAAAAATATTGGTGTTTAAACAAAAAAATCATTGGTGTTGTTCATATCGCTGGCAAACCTAATATTTATTGGCGATCTGCTGTTGCTTTGAGTTGCTGTTGGACCTTGTTCCTTGAAACTGCTGAAAATGAGATTGAATACATTTTGAAGTTGCACCAGGGCCACCATAGAGAGGACTAAGCTCTGCAGCTAGTCACATTCTACATAATGTGGGAGAACTTGTTTGTGACAATTATGGTCTAAAGTTAAAAAATATCATTGTTCCACGGCTCTAACTTAATTACAAAATGCTTCAAAAAAAAAAATCAAGATTCCTAAACACTCTGTCTGCTGGGAGGCAGGGGATAATGTTAACGTCACTGGGCTAGTAATCCAGAGACCCAGGCTGATGCTGTGAAAACATATGTTCAAATGGAGAATTTTGAATTCAGTTACTAAACCTGGAAATAAAAACTAGTCTAGCGGTGATCATGAGATCATTGTCAATTATTGTAAAAACCCATCAGGTTTATTAATAACATTTAGGGAAAGATGCCATGTTTACCTGGTCTTGCCCACTTGACCCATTTGCGAGTCAACTACTGCAATGGCTTAGCAAGCCACTGTGTTGTACCTAACAGCTACAAAGCCTGTTAAAAGGACCTACACCACATGGACTGCACTGCTTCAAGAAGGCAACTTACCATCACCATCTCGAGAGCAGTTATGATTGGGCTTATTTTGTGAAATCTATATCCTGTAAATGAATAAAATAAACAGTAGGATGATTTGCACACCGCAGGAGTTGGAATGATTTCTCTTGGGTATGGCCTTTCACAGGAGCGCAAGAATAGGAATAGACCATTCAAGCTGTTGAGCCTGTTTCACCCATGATCGAGATCATCGCTGATCCATATTTAAGCACTGCTTACCTGCCTTGGCTCCATATCCTTTTGCACGGTAGTGTAGAAAAGAAAACCTTTTGATCTTGGATTTAGTGTGATCAACTCAAGTGGACTTTGTATTTTTCTGTGGAGCGAAGAAGGAGTGGAGTCAGATGCATTAAAGACCTTTAAGCGACTCTTGGATAGGCACATGGAGGATAGTAAAATGTGAGGTATGCAGGGTAGATTGATCTTAGTAGGATAATAGGTCTGCACGACATTGTGGGCCGAAGGGCTGTGCTGTACTGTTCTATGTTCTGTGAATTTCATGCTTCTATGGCCCTTTGTGTAAAAGTATTTCCCTTCTTCCCTTCTGATTAGCCTGGGTCTGGTTTTAAGATGGTGTGCTCTTGTTTTAAACTCCTCCACACGTTCATTTCTTTTATCCAACACACACCGACCAAAGGGGCCTCGGAGGGTTTTGTGGTCTGTTCTGGGTTAATGCACTACAATCTGTCTCTGTGTCACTGGGAAAACCAGCCAGCCATCTTACAGCTAATTCCTGGTGAGTGCAAAATCAGTCTTGGCTTTGAGCAGCTCCATATTTGGAAAACCTGCTGATACTGACTGTCATGGTTCATGCACAGTTAACCCTGGGCTTGCATGGAGGAGAGGAAAGAAATTAATTAAAGGGAAAAGTAAAACAAAATCTGCAGAAGAATTGCAATTTTAACATGTCAAATTGGATTCTTAACTATGATCCTTGCATAAAATGAGTCACAATTCCTGATTGGCAATGCATATGCAATTTTCCCTGCAAAAACACTCACTGGGGCTCCAACTCCAAACGAACCTTTAGGCTATCATCCAAAATTTGCAGCTCCGAATCCCTCATCCATCCTGGTGCCCAAAATCCCTCAGGAGGCACAGCAAGTGTCCTCAGCAATCTGTCTTCCCCATTATTCAACACTTTATCTTTGCGAAACAGAGCTAGTCACATGCAAGCATACTTGTAAGAGGGGATGCGCTACGAAATCTAATAACTTCCATTTTTCTGTTGTGTGAATATGTGGTGTGACTTGGAGCCATTTTGCCGAATTTTTGAAAATGTCAATTGGAACTGTAACTATTACACTGAAACATTAGTGACTTCGGTGCTTAGTATGCACTCCATTTTTCTTTTGTCTTCTACACATCAGCGTTTTCCCCTGTTGGTAAAAGGACTGTCCTCTGGGAGAATTGCTTGGAGCATGGATTTCCTTGGTTTAATCTCTGCACTGTGCTGAATTGGCTGACCTTGGCCAGACACAAAGTTAGCACACACGGCAGCATATGATAGGAAGAAAACCTCAGAGTTTGCTAAAACCTCCAGAAGGTGAGGGAAGAAATGATTGGGGGGAAAACCTACAACTTGTGTGTTCAAGCTAATTCTTGCCTGAAGTGTAATCCTGATTGAAAGAATATTGAACAGTTGACAAGTAAATAGGCATGACAGTTAAGTAAAATCAAGATCTGTTAGGCCTTTGCAAAAGTCCAGCACAGTATTGCAGCCTTTTTAGCACATTATGATCACTAGCGTCTAAGTTAGTTTTGCCAGTTAACGGTCTTGACTCAGTGATGTCGAACATGATTAAAAAATATCTGCAGAAAAATTACAGTTTTAATAGGTGCGATGCTGTCAAATTTTGATAAAAGCCACATATCGGTATCATAGAGACACGGTTGGTAAACGCTTGAGGCTTGTTACTTTTGGTAGTGCCATTTGAAATATTTGATGTTCTGTGGGTTTATAAGTGATGTTCAGGGCCATCTGTCCACTCCTCATGCTCGTGAGTTGATAAGGAAAAGTCAAAGGAATGGAGAAAAAGTTGAGTATCTTGCAGAGATCTGCGCTGTGGCTGGATAGAATCGATCAGAGTAAATTTTCAACATGTTTTGTCATGAAATCTATTCGTCAGAGCTGTTCCTGCACCTGCTAGTGGAACATATGGAAGAGCTGCTTTGTAGAAGACTGGCTACTATGACAGGGAGAGTAAGATGCAGTGTGTCAGCACCAGACACACAGTGGCATGCTGTTGAGTAGCCACTCATTCAGTGTCCAGTGAGCTGGCACAAACAGGAGTGCAGTTTTCTGTAAACAGACAACAAGGTGCAGGGCTGGATGAACACAGCAGGCCAAGCAGCATCATAGGAGC